AGCAGCCAGGAGAAGGTGGGAACAGAGCTTGCTGCACCCTCCTGCAGCCTCTGTGCCATGGTCCCAGCACCCTTCATCCTTACCATCACCTACAGCCCCAGGGGAACCCAAACAGATACCCCAGAGCTGAGATCACCCAGGCCATGAGAGGTTGGAAGTGGGGGCCTGGATTTGGCAGCCTGGATGCTTCTCCACTTGAGAGGCTTTGAAAGGGAATGTATTTTTGGAGCATTCAAGATCAACTGTTTCTGACTCCGGCCAATCCCTTTCAAGAGCAGCACCAAAGGAGGTCAGTGGGATGCGGCTGGTCAAATATTTTGTACATGACCATCATCTCTCACCCCCTCAAGTATTTACAGACCTGAGAGCATTTCCTGCTGTTCCCCCCCGTTGAGTATCTGGTGTCTCTGCTTGCTCCAGCAGGACAGTGCAGTGCGTCCCGGAGCGCGGTGAAGCCACGAAGGACCACCCCGGCGCTGCCCTTGGGTGCAGCAAAGAAAACTAAATCAGCACAATGTGTTTAGTCACACAAACGGCAGAGGGTTTACCCAGCCAGCAGTGGAACACAGCCATGATAATGAGAACAAATCTGTGGTGGGGGTGGTGGTGGCGGTGGGGAGATGGGGTGGAAAGGGGGAGGTTTATTCTCCAGGGGGTTTTTTTGTAATCTTCGCTCACCATATTTAGCAGGCTTGTGACTTGCCCTTGCTAGCTCATGGAGAATTCCCCCAAGTGTTTACTCCCACAACCTAGCAAATGCCTCAATACACATCATGGAAAAAATACAATCGACATCTTCACTCCCACTGGAGAAGGAATTCCGACTTGCCCGGCACAGACCGGGAGTATGAGCCTGTGAGAGAGACAAATACTGCTTCATTAGCTCCCCTCAGATGTGGTTTACTCCTCAAATGACCTGGTCAGGGCTGCACCACCTCCCTCCCTTCCTTCACCTAAGTAACCCCTGACCTTTGGTCAGAGCAGTGGGGACAGGAATGTGGGTCCTTTAACCCTTTCCTCCGACATCCGCCAGCTGCTCTCCATGCGGTTCACAAAGCTGATGGTCACGGGATTTCCAGGGATCCAGAGATGCTGCGAAGGGCGAGATCAGAGCTCTGCAAAACAGCTTTCTTCCTGCTGTACCTAGGGAAGGGCAGGATTTGCTGATGGAGAGCCATGTCTACCACGTACAGAACATGGAAACGAAATGGAAATTTCTGTGAGCAGAGCTCACAGGTCGCTCAGGATTACTTTGGCACCCTTATTTCAGAGCACAAAACTTCAGTGAAAAAAACCCAATAATTAGGCCATTTGGATTTTGTCAAAGTGTTCCCAAACTGCCCACATGACAAGTGCACATGGGGAATCCTTTTAATTTATCAAAAGTAGAATCTCCTACAACTGCAATGATTATCGGTAGAGCACAGCTAGAGAGAGGAGGTGGAATGAGAATGCTTCAGTGTTACTGATGATTTGGCATTTCCAGACAGGAATTTCTTTGCCCATATTGGCCAGGGAAGTGGTGGGATCACCATCCCTGGAAATGTTAAAAAAAACGTGTGGATGTGGTGCTCAGGGACGTGGTTTAGTGGTGGGTTTGGTAGAGCTGGGGTTAATGGTTTGACTTGATGATCTTGGAGGTCTTTTCCAACCTAAACAATCCTGTGATTTTACAAATGGGACACGCAGCACACAGCCAGCTCTCCTCTGCTGCTGTTCCCTGGTCTGTTCCCACCTTACCCTGGCACAGGGGACAGCGGGAGGATGGTGCTGAATCATTCACACCAGTGAGGTCTTGGAGATTGTGCAGGGAGCGATCACAGAGGCACGAGGACACCAAGAAGGCAGTGGAATTCAACCACACGTGTGCAAGTCCACGTGTGCCAATTTGCACAGGCAGTGACGATGATTAGGCACAGAGCACTGGCAGTGCAGTGGTGTCAGTGCAGCTGTGACGGTGATCTGAGAGCTCTCGTGATCTCTGCAGAGCAAAACAAATCTCAGAGCGATCCTAAGCACTCTCGTGCTACAGGAATATGACTTTTACTTTTTTTTCCAGTGGCTAAAACCCATCAGTGGTGTGATATCACCAGTCTCTGCCTGCCTGAAACCTGTGGTATGGTGGCGTGCGAGGGACGTGGACTCAGGCTGGAAACACACGGTCTGTAACCCCTGACATTTCTCCAAGGAAGTGCATCATTACACCCTTAATCCCTCCTTTGTACATCATCTTGTTTATGGTGCTTTGCACACCAAAAATCATATTGAATATTCTGATTTTACCTCCAGCTCCTTTTTTTTCCTATTCTCCTCTTTCTTGCACGCACGTCCTTTCCTTCTTCACGAGGAGAAAGCACCTCTCTTCCCTGGGCAGGCTGAGCCATTGCAGCATTTGCCTAAAATACAATACAAACTTCTAATTAGAGGAGGGAGGGGATTGGCAAAAGAATATTAAAGCTTTTCAAGTCTCCTGAAATCCTTTGTGTGGAACAGCTCTGGGAAACAGGGCCTGCTGCCACCCTCCCCCTCTTGGGAGCATTCCCCAGGGCAGTGCCCGGGCAGCAGCTGCTGCTGCTCCGGGGGAGTCAGCCCAGCCTGACACACAAATAAATACCACAGGAAGAAATGCTTTCTTCCAGCAAAGACCTGGGGAAGAAACCCTGGGTATCAGGAGAGAAAGGGAACGTACACGCTTGCACCTGAAAGAGCTTTGGGATAACAGGGGAAGCTCAGTCTCGGATACAGAGGAGTGAGGAAAAGCAGGAAAGCTTATAGATGCAACCAGGTATGACACAGACGTCATGCAAAACAGATAGATTTGCATAAAGATACACCTCCATTTTCAATCAGCCCCTCTAACCTTCACATTTCAGCCTAAAAAAAAAAGGGCAGGCTTAAAGCATAGAAGGAGTTAATACCTGAAGGTGTGGAGGGGAAAAGATTCCCATGAAAACTAGCTGGAGCATTTAGGGTGGAAAAGGGATTTTGGTTGGTTCTGGTGCTCACCCACAGGTGAGAGAGGCTGGAAAATTTGTGTACAAGGTGAACACACAGGATTGTGTGTGCAGAGAGAGCAGGTGGCAACAGGAACACCCGCCCAGCGCTGATGCTGCGTTGCTCAAGTCTAAGAAATTGTGTCCTTCATTGCATTAACAACTTCTGCAAAGTCTTCATTTGCATTTTAATGGAACTCTTTCTAGGAAGGTGCTGCCTGGACTCTGTTGCAATGTAAAATGAAGAGGTAATTAAAAACATGTTGGAGTTAAAAGGCATTTTGTTTTCATTAATAAGGTTTATTTATGATCTTTTAAAAATTAAAGGTATTTAGGGTACGTGGGAGGAAACGGGGGGGGGTGGGGTGGAAAACACATGATGGAACATCCATTTATTTAAATTACAGATTAAAAAGTGGAAAACACACTTTTTGTGAGGGGACGTCCTGGGGATTAAAAGCAGGACTGGATTTGAAGAAAGAGGAGGTATAGGAGTCGAGACAAAGGTTCCAACAGCAGGTCTGCCTGCTTGAAAGCCAGAGATGAAGAAAACATATAGGACGAGGGAAAGGAAACCAGGGAGGAAATTCTTAAACCTTCGTCACTCAATTACCCGGGGCAAATGACTGGGATTACACACCTAAACCAGCTATCTATGCAAGCGGCCAGCCCCGGCTGGCCAGACACGTATTTCCCCAATTTTTGGGGGCAATCACAGCACGCAGATGTCGATAAGCAGTTTGCAAACGTTTTATCTGCCTGGACCAGCTCCTGCTTTCACAACCCGGCGACCGCACAACGAGCGATCCCCCCCGCTCGCCGCAGCCATCGCGCCCACCTCCTCCGCGCCCCAGACCTATCCTGCCCTGTTAAGCTCCGTCCTTTGAAATATAGGGCAGTTTCTGTCACATCCTTCAGCGCGACAGTCAAAAGGGAAAAAAAAAAAAAAAAAACAACACACACCAACCCTGCCCTTTGTCGCACCGGGAGGTTTCTCCAGCGGGGATCTCTCATCTCCGTCCGCTGTGATCTCTGTCCTCACCGGCCATTACGGGTTCGGGGAGAACGGGGGGGGATCCGAACGCCGCAGAGACAGCACTTGATTTTCTATTATTTTATACGATTTTATTTCGGGGCGGCGTTGTGTGAAATACATAGCAGCGCGCAAAAGAGGGGAAAAGTGTTTCGTTTTGGTTTTGTCTACTCCCTCCCACACAAGGTGCCGAGGCGGTCCCGCTCCCACACTCGCCGTTGGGGCTGAGGGGACGCGCCCCGCTGGGGAAGGGGAGGGGGGGGGGCACAGCCGGTTCTCTCGGGGCTGGGCGCACCTGCCGGCGGCAGGGGACACGCGTGGAGCCGCAGAGGGGCCGTGGGAAAGGCAGGGTGGGGACAGGGGGCACGATGAGGGCCGGGACGGGCGCGGGGAGCGACAGCACTACGAGGGTCCCGCCGCCCCCGCCTCAGCGCGGCCCCCGCGCCGTCCCGGCGTGCCCCGCGCGCCGCGCGCCCCCGCCCTCCCTCACTTCCGGTGTCCGGCAGTGGCAGCGCCGCCGGCGGCGCCCCCGCTCCCCCCGGCGCAAGGGGAGGAGGGGGGCGTGGCCGCTGGGCGGGGCTTAAAGCCCCAACTCCGACCAATCACCGCCCGCTGCTGGGCGGGAGTGGGCGGGGAAAACGCCGGCACGCGCTGCGCGGCTCCGCCCCCCTCTCCTCACCGCCTCCCCCCCCCACCCCCCCTCCCGCCGCGGGCTCGCGCCCCGCGCGCCCGAGGGAGCGTCGGGAGCGCGCCCGGGCGCCCCCCCCCACGCTTCCCCCCCCTCCGCCGGGTTCTCCCCCCACACACCACCCCCCTCCTCCGCCCTCCGCCCCCCCCCTCCCCCCCTTCCCCTTCCCCTCCCCACCCGGGAGGAGAGGCACGGAGTGACCGACGGAGCCACCGCTCCGGCCGCTCCGCCACCCCGCTCTCCTCCATGGGGCTCAGGTAAGCGCGCCGCCCCCCGCCCCCCCGGGGCGAGCGGGGGTCGCCATGGCCGCCCCCACACCCCTGCACACGGAGGGGCGGCGGGGAGCCCCCCCGGCCGCTCCCGCACCGCCGCCCCCGGTGTTATCCCCGCTATTATCCCCACTGGTTATCCCCGGTTTTTTATCCTTATCCCCGTTTCCATCCCCGTTATTCCCACCCGCCGCCCCCTTCTCCTCCTCCTCCTCCCCGGTCGCGCCCTGCCCCAGCGAGGGGGGCACGGAGCCTTCTTTGGGACGCGGTGTCCTATTTGGTGTGGGTGGATGGCTTAACTTGGTAAGTGCCGGGT